TTTTTAGTTTTGTAGGAATTCTTGGGTTTTTATATATATTTTTTTTATTTCATGAGTACTATTCACAAGTACTATTCATAAATACTATTTACAGGTACTGCTTACAGGGGTGAAATTGTCATTACAAATTTTAAGTAAAGTTATGATATATAGGTCATTTTAATCATTGTATAGACATATGATGCCTTGGAACATTGAATTATCATATATAAGAGGTGTGTGGGGTCTTGAGAGGATCAATTCGAAATGATATTTAGAAATTGAAAGAGAAAAAAACTTAGGTTTTTGGAACCCTAGGTTGGGGTATGGAGAAGAAACCCCAGGTTTCTTCGAATTTTGCTTGTGTTTGGCTTTGCTCCTTGCTGTTTTCATAATTCTCTCAAATTTCCTTGCATCAATCTTACTTCCTGCAGGAAACTTCTAAATGTAAGAAATGCTCATACTTCTATCGTATATCCTTATGTTAACGTTATGCATTTACTTGTGGTGGGACATTCATTTTGTTTCTGTAGGTGAAGACTCGTGTGTTTCTCATTTACTACAATGAGTGACCAGATTTCCTACACTCACTTTGGGATGCTTTAATCTCATAGGACTTTCTATCCGTGTCAGTAAAAATTGTTACAACACCAAACGAAACTGTAACTCACGATTTCTTTGGTGTGATGAAGCATTTTAGCAGGGAAACTGAGTATTAGGAAGGATTTCTAGTCAGTTGGCTTGGTTTAAGGCTTGAATATTAACTCAACCATCCCAGTTCTTTGGGATTTAGCCTTGATCTAAGGTTTGAATACCTAGAAACACATGCCCCAATAGAAACCCATGTCTGAGGTACAACGATAATTTGTTTGATTCTCACCTATTATACATGTTATAATGTTCCATGGGCATATTAATCTCTTTTATCGTTCTTTAGTGGAATATTCTATATGAGTACTTGGTTACCCACTTGTTGTTTGTATGTATGGGATTTCATTACTCATTCTTGAACCTGTCATGGTAATTAGACCAATGAAAACCTAGGTATTGCCATATTTTCTCTAGTTCCCCCTATTTGTGTTCTAGTCAGACACCCATGGCATCTACTTGGAGCTTCAAATCATAACTGCAACATTAGGCCCTCAGACTTTGCACTTTTTGCCAATTTTTTCTAGATGAATATTTTCTTTTGTGGTCATGTTTTTCAGCAGTATTTGTAGTTTTTGTAATATTCACTGCTGTATGATTCTTGATTGTTGATCTTTCGGTCCTTGAAACTCAAACTAGGATGAGCACATGTTTGTATGTCTCATTCATGCATGAGGTGAAGTTTTCTATTAATAATTGGCTGCCTATCATAAATATTTGATTTTTTTCTTAGTTTTTTTTGAAGTTTTGGATTAGAGATATAATTAATTCTAAAAATCTCCATTATAGGCCCTAATATTTTGACATTCCAAATGTCTCATAGTCTGCATGCTAATGCTCCTTGCCCTTGGTTCAAATTTGATGATCTCTTGCTTCAATTGTTCGGAGAATGCATGGCATTATGTGGGTCGTGCTGACGTGCGTGGTATTGGCTCATTTGATTTGTGCAGAAACTGTTCTCCAAAATTTCCTATTGTTGAATATTAGGAAACATCTAGTTTTCCCTAAATTTTGGTTATAAGCATATATAGACACAAACATACATGATCTGCTTATGCTATGGTAATATTCTTACCATAGTTAAGGGAACCTTGTGGGTAGGGTGACGATCCCGCTTTGGAACCTCGATCCCCCGGTTCCTGCAAGGGATCTTGTAGGGACCTCGGTTTCTTGATTTTGGGATCTCCCTCCCAAAAAAAGGGCGACCACGTTCCATTCATCAGTGGAATCCAGTTCCATAGTCCAAGGTTTTGGTACATTAAAATCTTGGGTTCTATGTTTGTGGGATCTACTTTCATTAACGGATGATACCAGGTTAGAGATTGCCATTGGCCTAAGTTTCCATTATTTAATAATCATAAGCTCCATGATGGTAAAATCCATTCCTTTTTTCGCATAGCACGAAGTTATATTATTTTAGATTCTTAATTTGATCTAGCCATAGTCTAGAGTGACCAATTGTTTTATTAAGTCCTATTGTGTAACCCGTCCCTCTTAGTTGTGAGAATATAAATCTTATTTAAAATCTTATATTATGATATCCTATTGTTTTAGATTCTTAAATCACAATGATGAATCCTCTTAGTTGTGAGATGAAAATATATGCTTTCGTTTCAAGCTTTAAAAAACTTCTTTTACATATGAGAGAGAGTGAGAGAGAGGGACTAGTTCATATTATCCTCTTGCCCCTTCGGAGAGCCAGCTTTTGAGAAACAATGGAAGTATAGGAGACTACATTCGAAGAAAATGACCCTTGAGTGGTAGGATTATCGGTTGCTGGGGACTCCGAGGCAATGGTGCTTACCAACTTGTGTCATGGCCTGAAAATGTAATGGGAGGGAAAGACCTTGGTAATGGAGCATTCTGATGAGCCTCATCATTAGCATCAAGGCGGTCGCCTAATGCTTCTAATGCCTCAACATCATCCTCGAGGTGGTCATCATTAGGATGAAAATCCAATCTTTTGTACATTTATGCGTAGTCTACTTAACAACCTGTCATTGTAGTGAACATAAACCAATAACTCGGAGTGTTGAGCATTTAACATGTCCGCTAAACACTGTAAACATAACTATACGTACTCCAGCACCTCAGCACATGACGAGTGGACACTCTGAGACATCACCTTAATAGCTAGTGAATATAATTCAGGACCCCCTACCAGTATATAGATCCCACCACCAAACAACTGACATTGTTCTTTTGTCGGAAATGGATGCCGGGAGTAAGGAGACTCTTTTATTATTTACAAAATCATTGATGTCTTGTCGTATCCTGCCCCATTCATTCTCATCTGGGTACAACCTCTCAAGCTCAGCAAGATAAGACTTTGATACTTCTTTATCATGGTGCGGCTTTAGCCTCTTCTCCTTGCCAAGAGTTGGCATAGTTAAACCATTCATGAGAGTGATACTTAGAACTTAAAACATGTGCCAAACATAGTTAAGAATCTTGATATTAGAACAAGAGGATCCCCGTTATATGACATAGTTAAACCTCGATTCCTTAACCAAGGGAACTCATACTAGCTTTACTTGACAACCTCATTTTTTATGTATAGTGGAGCTTAGATTCCTGTCAAAACATCTAACCCATTGACATGGGATGTCGCTCCCATAAACCTACGGATCTCGTTCCTTGTCATGTTCATTGTACGGACGCCAATCCTAACCCCAGGGAGCTTCCACTATAGGGCGGTTCAACGAATCCCAAACCCATCCCGCTCCCGTCTCCAACAACTATAATTTTTAGTATTTAATTGGATATGCGTTAACTATAACATATACTTCAAAAATAACTGCATCAGAAAATGTACAACAGATTCAACCTAGTATTCGACGACTGGGGCGAGCCGACTTGGGCTGGCCAGAGTAACTTGGACTTGCCACCGAGTATCCCCGAGTTGGGTGGTTCCACTTGGAGATCTTAAAAAGAAATTCAAAAACAATATAAAAAATCCCAAAAAATAAGGAATTTATTTGTAATATATTTTTTATGCTTCTATCATTTTGGCAATTATTGGAAAGTGTTTTGGCCATGAATACTTATTTTTAAATTTTGCCTTCCTTTTGGATTATTTCTAAAATACCCCCATCACAAATTTATTTTTTCAAAATCCTTATTTTTTCACTACTTTTTAACCTCATTTCGATGTGTTTTGTTTAATTTTACTTTAAACGTATTTTTGCTTCTTTTTTTTTGGTTTTTTTGTATATTATTTTAACACTTTTTGGCTCGGCTTGAGCTTGGCCCAATTTGGGCTGGCTTACTCAGACTCGGACCGAGTCGGTCTTCTAACACTGATTCAACCTTCAGTATGTCATTTTCAGTTATCATCTAGTCTTCAAATATAGTTCTTGGGCATATGCTAGTCAAAATTTTCATTAAGAATATATCTATGATGGTTTATGTGTGGTGCACAATTTAATCTAGAGATGGATGAGTTCTTGACATCTAGTGTGATACTGCCTTGTTACCGTTTGACATAAGTAATTGCCATGTACAATTATTGACATCATTCTTGGCATAGTAGAGATGGTCATCTACATGTTAATTTCTTGTTTCTTAATATAAAACTTCAAAATAGTACTCAATAAATTATAAAACAATTTTTAACTTATAAGGTGTACAACTGAAGGATATAGCTAAGTTGCTTAGTTTGGTGTACAACTGAAGGATATAGCAAAGTAGACTGACAAAAGCTACACACACTTTCTTTGAAGTTGTTTGGTTTGGCATCCTGTCTCATGCTGCTTTCAAATATTTAGTTGTCTCAATGAGTTTTCATGATGCACATGAATCCTTTTGAGTCTTTGACTCATTTTAAGAATACGAGTATCATTTCAGCTGATTGTTAATATTGTACTCTGATTCAGGGGTGATATCATTTCCATGATTCCATACTGGTATTTTTGTACTAGAGCTCCTCTGCATTATATTTCAAATTTGTTTGTCCCATTAATTGATGTCCATCATTCTCCAATGGAATTTCTTTCTTTGAAATTCCCCAACTATAGTTGACCCACTTTTCTGATTATTAACTTCCTACGAAGGAAATGAGGATGTCCAAACAATAATATCACCGCCTGCACACTATCAACAGTTAGACTGTGTTAGCTGGTCTGTCTTCCACCATATGAGGCTCTCAGGTCATGGATTGCACCAAATATACACAAAACTTAGCTGCTTTGTTGTATTTAGTGAAGATCCCTAGATGACTGTTGGGCCCTCAAACTCTTCACAACCCTTCTACAGCTGTCAATTGCAATACATCCATAGTTGATTTCTTCTAAAATTTAGAAACTAACGAGACTACTGATGCTGGTTTTATTTGTTCATCTGTTCTGTAATGATAACACTTTTTTGTTGTGAAGGTTGGTTCTGGGGAGGTCGACGACGAGCTAGAGGATGAGGTGGCGTCGGAGTGCGCAAAATACGGGACCGTAACACGCGTTCTCATTTTTGAAATAACTGAGGTCAATTTCCCTGCAGAAGAGGCAGTTAGGATCTTTGTGCAGTTTGAGAGGTCAGAGGAGACTACAAAAGCTCTCATTGATCTTGATGGTCGGTTTTTTGGAGGGAGAGTGGTGCATGCTGGGTTCTACGATGAGGAGAGGTTTAATAAGAATGAATTGGCTCCCATCCCAGGTGAGATACCTGGGTACCCTTGAGGTATCTATGTATCTATGGATGATTAAGACTTGTATGGGGGTGGGTTCCTTTTTGTTGTTGTGAAGCATTGGAATTTGATTTTAGGGAAGTTTCCAGCTCAAATGGTCAAGGGTGGCAACATCCGTACTATAAAGTATATCCTTATAAACCATGTGAGTGAGAATCGGTTATCGAATTGATGAATTGATGAGGTTTGGGTGGAATGTACCTATTGTTGTAAGTCCACCCTTTCAAAATCCATATGGAGATGGAATGAGGATCCTAACGCTTACAAGTCCATTATCTTTATTATCACAACCATGAATCTAGGATAAAAACACAACAATTTCGAGCCTTAAGAATGGTCAGTCTTGTACCTATTTCTTGGATTGTTCATTTTTTTCTTTCAATGATCATCAGATGTGCTTCATTTTGGGCTTCAAATTCATAGATTTGAGATGGAAATGGATTTGAGATATTTTAGTTGTCTTGAGTCCGGAATCTAGCAACCCCATTATTATAAAAAATGATAGGCTGTGCAAGGACTTTTTTTTTTCTTCTGATTATCATCCTTCTGAATAATCCGTGGTGTCCTCAACAAACTTGAGGGGGCTTAAGTATGAACCATGTGAAATTTGTGGGCTTCTACTATTGTTGTGGTCCTTATAGCTCTCTCGAGCTCAGGTAAAGCCACTGGTTATTATCTTTGAGCTAGGGTTTTTTGTGACTTCAAGATTGTCCCTCTCCTTTTTCTCTTTATTCAACCTTTTGTGGGCCTTTATGCACAATGCACTCGAATTTCAGATGGCCCTTTGGGAAGACACCAAAATTAAGTCATCTGCCAAGGTTGTTTTAGACTGACTCTTAATAGGCTTAAGATCACGATATTGCAATGAATGCTTTAGAACCCAGATTTGGGATTTGTATTGCCCACCCACCATATTGATTTGGATGGGCTAGATCCATGATCTCGATTGGCTGAATTGTAGGAATCGGTAAAAAGATAATTAACATATCAGATGTTTCTAGGGTTGTTTTGGGGTGAAGAGGGGAGACCAAAATCGCTTCCCCTACTAACCCCCACCAAATCCGATTTTGGATCGTGTGATTCCATATTTGAATAGTGATACGATATTTTCTTTTTCTCTTTGGGGAGAGAGGCATAATTAACATAAAAGAGAGGAGAGGAAGAGGAAGAGGGGATCATAAATCTGTGCCAATTTGTATAAGTTGTGTGTAAAGCTATACATAACTACAAAAACATGCAAACACGTGCACTTAAAACCATCAAGCACCCTTTCAAAAGATAAAAACTGGGGTCTCCCAAAACTTTCATCCAACAAGGGTGATTGACAGAGAAGTAAGGAAGGAGAAAGAGAAACCAAGAAGCTGTGACAAAAAATTGGAAATCAAAGACGCTGCTGGATATGGAAAGAGAATCAAGAGAAGCAAGGAAGGGGAGAGAGAAAGCAATAAGCTGTGACAAAAAAGTGGAAATCAAAGAAGCTGCTGGATATGGAGAGAGAATCAAGAAGTTAAGAGAGAGACATAAGAGGAAAGAGAGGGAGGGAGAGACAAAGCATTGGTGGACAGAGAGCAAACCATGCAGGCACATAAAAGAGAAAAGAAGAGGATTCATGGGAGAAAAGAGGAGGATTTATGGGTGGCGCTGGGGCGACCCAATCGGAGTGTTATGATTGGACGCCCTCGCCTCCTGAAAGAGGAACGGGTGGTGAGGGTGCGGATGTAGTGGATGGTGCGCATGAGGGAGCACAACATACGGTGCAGGTTGGTGACCACCATAAAATGCAGCTGCACCTGTTGGCGATCCCATCAAGAAGGCTGCCACATCGTCCATCACATTCCTCCCTGAAAGCACTGAACTTCTTGGTGAAATACCGGCACTGAGAACATGGCCGGACACCTCGCTGGAGGCAGCAGGAGAGCCAAAAGGCGATGAGAGGGAGGACACAGCGGCCACCACTTGCTGATGTGGCGACAGGGTGGGGCAGGATGAGCGGTGATGTGTGGGGCCCGAAGAAGGGTGGCGTGGAGAGGTGGTGGTGGAGCAGTCTCCGGGCTCAATAGGGTCCAACAGGGCGAGTCCAGTTAGCGTGCATGTGCCAAACCCATGACTCAATGGGGCTGAGACTGTGTTTGGATGCATCGTGATGGGCTCGATTGTGAGTGGCTGAGTTGTGGGGATCGTCCTTGATACTCCTAATCCCTGCATAAGGAGAAACTTCATAGTAAATATCAATGAAAAACTATACAATGAGACTATTTATCTTTGGTACAAAGTGGTCATAATTAATTTTAACCATTGGATGTGAAATTAGATGGATATATTTATTCTATTGACCAAGCTCAAACTTCAAAAAAAAAAAATCTCGAACTTTGTAATATGCCCAAACTAGAAGACTTTACATCAGATAATTATAAATAATTATGACCTTGCATCAAAAGTCAATAGTCTTATTATATACAATACCAATATCTATCGTTATAAAAACTAAATAGTTGAGATAAAGCTCGATTATAATCTAAGTACCCGGTTTCTACGCGGCCAAGCCCGCATATGAAGAAATGCGGGCCTCTTAATAAATCTATTTTTGAGATGGATTTTAAGACTTAATTTTTAAGGACATTGAAATCTCTAATATGGAATATGAAAAAATAAATAAATTTTAAAAATTAGAAATAACAATTCTCATAAGAAAACATTTGGATCGTTAGTTTCCATTATTTTTAGATGGAACACCTATTTGCATCCATCTTTAAGATATATGCTTTACTCTTTTTGGACCGCACATGTAGAAATGCAGTCTAGCTTGCACAAAACAAATTTTCTAATCTAAATTATAAAAAGATTGCTACATATGTGAAATTGAAAAATATGTGTGGGGGTAGGTAGGAAGAGTTTTATTGTCTAAAAAGACAGACATTGTCAAATCAAATCTACAAATAAAGTAACAATTTTCTACAAATAAGGTTCCCGCCATGTATAAACCGTACCCTAATGTTAAATAGAATGATTTGACGACCTCAATGATTTTATAAGATGATTTGGCCATTTTCATTATAATTAGACCTTTGTACCAAATTGGATAGAAGAACTAGTTATTGAAGTAGCACTCCACAAATAGGCAATCATACCAAGATAAATCCATCAATTTTTATATAAAAAATACTTTCAATCTTGTTTGTGATGGTTCATTCTGTGCCATTCGCTAGTATGTGAAAGGAAAAAATTTAAAGGCAGGTGACAATGATCCCAACCCTTCATTTTAGTTGAACTATATAGATTTGTCTTTGTACTAGAAAAGGTGTCAAAATTTTGAAGGATGAAGTTTCTAAAGGCCAATGCTTTATGAAAACAAAATAAAGCCTCACCGTAATCTTTGTCTGGGAAGCACTTTCGGTAACATAAATCTCCAAGATGGCTCTAAAATCAATTTTCAATATCGATAATAAAATTTGAAACACAAAAATGTACATATCTTGCGGATCTTTGAACACATGTTTTTAAGGCGAAATATATTGTCTAGGTAATTTGTTATAATATACACTATTTTTAGAGTTTGAAATCCTATTTTTTTTCACAACCATAATGTTCAAGCCGAGACGATCGATGTAAAAGTTTTCCAATGCTTGGATAGCAATTTTCGATGAGTTATGAGGTGAGGCTTTAATTATTTTGATAAGGCTGAAGTTTTGTCAAACTATTTTCCAAATTTGAATATATTTTAAAGAAATTGTAGTATTATACATTATGGGATCATTTACCATTGTTACAAGGAGGTCCAACCATTTCTAACCATTAGACTTCAAATTGGATGGCTTAGATGTGGTACAAAGTTCGAGATATTTTTCGAAAACTTTAGGCAAATGACATATTTATAACCACCCAAATTGAAATCTATACCAGAGTTTTATGGACCCCTTGCACTTTTTGTATACTTTTTCTATTTTAAAAGATGTTTTATGGACCCCTTGCACTTTTTGTATACTCTTGTACTTTTTGTATACTTTTCCTATTTTAAAAGATGTGTTAAATATACTCTCTCCAGCTAAAACTAAGCGGTGGAAAACATTTCGATCATACTTCGTACAAGGTTGCATACACGGTAAACAGAGATTATTGACTTATCTCTCAAACCCAAATTTTTTTAACACTCTTAAAACCCAAAAAAAAAAGAAAAATCTAGGATGGACTCTCAAGCAAAAAATTTAAAATTACTAGATTAGATATTAAAAAATCAGTAAAAAAATAATTTTCAACAAAAAAGAAACTGAAAAGATAAAAAAAAAACATAATATCAACTAATAAAGAAAAAAAAGGTTAGAAAAAAAGCCTAACAATCAAAATTCAAACCATCAGTAAGATAATGTGTCTCTTTATACTGTTGAAGTAAGGTACGCCTAAAAAATACTCCAGAAAAGTCTTCAGATATAGGATCATGAAACATAGAAAATGGCAATTCATACTTTTAGAGAGAGATAGGAATCACTAGCATTAGGGAACAGAGAGAGAGTAGACATTCAGAGAAAAAGAGAGCAGGGTATTGATAGCATTACACACCGAAAGCAATCTCACATAGCTACGGAAACAAAAGACATAGATATAGATACAGAGGATAATATGCATTTGACATAGATGAGAGAGAGATACAGAGGAGATTATGCATTCGACAAGGAGAGAGAGAAGAAGAAGAAGACAGAAATAGATACACAGGAAATCATTCGTTTGACATTGGGGAAGAGAGGGATCATAGCATTTAATAACAGAATCCTACTGCACCAAAAAACACATTCAAAGGGATTACAGTCTATACAATAATTCAAAAGTAGCAAGGATTGTAGTAGCAGCAGTAGAGAGAAGAGGGGTTACCGGAGTACGATAAGTAGTGCCATCTGGTTCGACAACCCATCCAGCCTCGGCAGCCAGAGCTCGGAGAACATCGTTGATATCAGCCCTCGGCGGCAGGTTGTAACCCCCAAACTTCCTGAGCCCATTGAATATCTTCGTGGTTATGGACCTCCTGTTTCTCTCTCTAAGCTTCGTCTTCTCTTTCTCCTTCTCACTAGACCTCTTCCCCTTCCCTTGCCCTTGCCCTTGCCCTTCCTCTGAACTACACTCCTTCATTCTCTCTCTCCTCTGATAAGTATTCTCTACCCCTCTCGCTCTAAGGACTTCACTGTTAGGTATTATTCACCTGAGTTTTATGGGTTTTCTCAGAATAGGAAGAAGGAGATGCAATGATAGGGAACCCGTCTTCTCTCTCAAGAAAAAACAGGTGTGCCCCGCTTTCTCTCTCTAGGTTTCGCCTCCCACAATACAAACCAAACATTAACCCCTCTCTCTCTCTCTAAACTCTCAACTTATTCTCTCTCTCTCTACTGCCTGCAGCTCGCACTGGCGCCACTCAGACAGGTTATGCATGCCGCAGGAGTGAACATTTGTGCGGGTTTTTAGCAACGAATACAATATGCCCTGGGGACTTCTAGAGAGAGAAAGAGACCGGTGCGATGTTTTCCGTTGTCCGGTCTCGTTTGGACGTGGCACGAAGCTATTGCGCTTCGTTATTATTTGCAGGCCATGAGAGAGAGAGAGCACAGCGATGAGAGAGAAAGTGGAGAGAGGGAATCTGGTTTCGAGGGCGACTTAGTTCGGTTAAGAGAGAGAAAGATGATACGTTAGAGACTTAGTTTTAGAGAGAGAGAGAGAGAGAGAGGCGTTTGGGTTTCAAATTTGTAAATACGAAGTTGAAGCGCGAAGAGAGGGAAACAAACGGAGGGTTTTACATAAATTCGTTCGTAAACCGTCGCTTTTTAGAAGATTTTAAAGAGAGATGTTAGAGAACTTTAACATATAGCTTTTTATTTGTTTTTTTTCCGATTGGTGAGAAAAATAAAATAATTTGATAATTTAATCGATAGATTTTTTGAATTTAATAAAAATAAATTAAATATTTATATATAAAAATAAAAAGATAAAAAAATAAAAAAAATATTTTTATGCATCTTTTTGAAAAAAAAAATTAATAAGGGAGTGAATGGTTTTAGAGAGAGAAAGAGAGGTGATGGTGAGAGAGTCAGCGGAGACTGACAAAAAAGAAGGGATCAGCGTTAGGTGGAGCTACAGAGAGTGATGGGAGAATAGGAGAGAGAGTAGGAAGAGAGAGAAAGAGTTGCCACTTGGTAGAAGAAGATAGAGAAAATAAAACGTTAAATAAAAGAAGAGAGAGATAGGAAAATAAAACGTTAAATAAAAGAAGAGAGAGAGAAAGGAAGGCTGATGATTGAGAGAGACTTGGAAACGACACTGGGAAGGAGAGAGAGAAAGGAGGCTGATGATTGAGATAGGGCGTCGAAGAGAGAGAAAGTATTGTAGTAGGAAGAGAGAGAAAGTATTGTAGCAGGAAGAGAGAGAAAGTATTGTTGTAGGAAGAGAGAGAAAGTATTGCATTAGGCAGGAGAGAGATGAAGTGGATGATTAAGGCAGGGATTGCACGAATCTTGAGGGAAGAGAGAGAAAGAGTGGGTTAGAGAGAGAGAGAGAGAGTTGTGAGGTGGCGAGTGAGAAAAGGACAGGAGGTAGAGAGGGGAAGCGCTTTCTGTTAGCGTGGCGGCGCAATGGAGATTACATGATACGAAATAAAAAATATCTTGTTTTTCCCTAACGTACATTTGGTCCGCCTCAAGGCAGAGATCTCTACAGTATGCACCCCCACTATTTATGGGAGAGAATCCCAAATAATATATTTATCGAGGAGGGAGCATTTGTTTTGGAAAAGGAGAGCATTTGTTTTGGAAAAGGAGTCTGTCCACTCAACTATTCATGTGAGTCCTCCTATAATACACATGAAAGATGAATTTTGCATCCAATTTTTTAAGGGTTACAATGGGGATTATTCAATTTTTAAAACAAAAAATTTAAATTTGAAAATTTCTGAGATTATTGTTGGTTTTAAGTTTTCGGTGGACCCGCGTCTTTGTTGTCCATCCAATGATGGACGTTTGATGCGTGAGGGGAATCCAGTTTTCCAATCAATCAACAAGCATTCATTAACAGGTAAAGGAGGGAAAATTTTGCAAATATTCCTTATATTTTGCCAATAAAAAAATAGGCCTCACTACATAACTCACGGAATATTACAATTTAAGCATCGGAAAACCTCTACATCGATCGTCCCGGTTTGAACATTATGGTTGTGAAAAAATTATCATTTTAAACTCCAAAAATAGTGATATTATAATATCTATCTACATTGTCTATTTCACTCTAAAAATAGGTATTTTTAGATCCATAAAATATGTATTATTTTTTGAGTTTTAAATTTTATTGTCAGTATTAGAAATTGATTTCGGATCATCCTATAGATTTTTGTTGTCAAAAGTACTTTCTGGACACAGATTTGCATGGATGTTTTATTTTGTTTTCATAAAACCTAGGCCTTATAAAAACTTCATTCAAAAGATTATCCCATAAAAAATTTGCAAACATTTCCACCAATTTACAAATAAAAAAAAAAGGGTGTTGTTTGTATAAGGCCGAGCCTCTAAACACTTTTTGAAAAAAGCGGTGTCAATATTTCATATCTTATGACCACTTTGTATTTTATATTTTATGTTATTTTTACGAAAAAACATACAATGGGATCATTCAAAAAGAATTTTCTCGAACCTTGTGACACATCTAAGCTATTAGATTTTAGATCTAATGGTTAGAAATAATCATAGCCTCCTTGAATTGAAGGTAAATGGTCTCAGTATACACAATCCCTATTTTTATTAAAAGGACATAAAGAACGCCGAACCAGACATAGATGAAAGTAGTGATAAAAGATACGAAGACTTATGGTATTATTGAGCATATAGGCCTTATTAAAGCAAAATAGTATAACAAAATTTGTGTACCCTACCCCAAATAGTAGGAATAACGCTCGGACGGTGAATGATAATTTTAATTTATTTTTAGTATAAATTTAGTTTGAGTTTCAGGTGTTTATACTTATCAACACCACGCACTAGAAATAAATTATTTTAAATAACTAAAATACACCTAAATCTTATAAGGATATTTTGGTTATTTTGTTTTATTAAAGGGTGTGGTTTGTATAAGGTTGCAACCTTACACAATCAAATTAAGGTGCACCTCCAAATTTATCATAAGATGTAATTATGTTGTCAAATATTCTTAGGAAGCATGAAAACATATTTTCATCGCTAACTATAAATTTTTAAATTTTAATAATGATTCAAATCAAGTAGATCTATGAACACATGAAAATCTTGAAAATGGATGGTCCAAATTATATGTTGCAAGATGTCCTATTGTTGGGACTTGATATCTTATATATAAACGCACACTTATATATCCATAAATCTGGATATCTAAATGATAAATTAGAGGGTTTACCAACATCAAAACAACATTTTTCAATGGATGATGCGCCTTAATTCTATAGTTTAAGGTTGCAACCTTGAAATTTTTTGTTATTCAATTATTTTCTATATTTATGCGACAAATGTGACGGCAAAATTTTAGGGGCACCCAAAAATTAAACTTAATCTACTATATAGAACAAACGGAAATTAAAATACAAAACAAGCTCTCAAAAAGTATGACATGATTATAAAGTATAAATAATTAGGCACATATTCTATTAACAAAATTTGCAATATATTTACCTAAATTTCCCAAAAAGAAAACCAGCCCTACCTTTCTATCCTTATCCATATTTCATGGGATTGGAAACATGGTGACGTTTTTTCTCTTGGGACTCATGACAGGAAAAGTATGCAAATAAATTGTTTGTTTTTACTACAAATATATCAAAATTATTTTTGTCCGTTAGATTTTAAATTGGGTGATTATGAGTGTGTCGTTGACAAGGATCCAATTCTTACATCTCCAACAATCGGTGGAGTAACTGCGAGTTTCAGTATATTTGGAGATATCATTATTGCCAAACTCAGTGCCTATGTAATATTTGTAGGCAAACGAATAATAAAATAAACTTTAAATAAGAAAATATCTGATGATTTGCAAGTAGCTTAGTATTCATTCCATAAGAGTTTATTGAATTTAATTGTTCTACGCAATCCTTTCCTTTAAAAGGTGTTTCAAGTCAGTTATTTCAACTCCACATGTAAAAGGTGTTTCAAGTCAGTTATTTCAACTCCACATGGAAAAGAAAATTTCTAAACAAAAATAGATTACACTTTTTGCCTCTTCTCCAATGGAAATAAGAGAAAAGGGAATCGTAAAACAATCTATATTATATTGAGATTGTATACAATGAAACTATTTACCTTTAGTACAATGAGGTCACAAACTCACAAGTACTTACAACCATCCGATCTAAAATCTGATTGTTTGGGTGTGTCATAAAGTTCAAGAAATTTCTTTTGAACTTTGGGTTTGGTCAATGAAATAAATGCAGCCACCTAACTTCACATCCAATGGTCAAAATTAATTGTGACCCCATGTATCAAAGGTAAAGGGTTTCATTATATACTTTCCCTAATATATTTGGGAATACAATATGAAAAGTATACCATAAGATCATTTATCTTTAGTACATGGTAGTCACAATTAATCTTGACCATTGGATGTGAAATTAGATGGCTACATTTATTTTATTGACCTAGCTCAAACTTTAAAAAAAAAATTATGAACTTTATGACATACCCAAGCTATCAGATTTCACATCAAATGGTTGTAAATAATTGTGATATCCTTGTATAAAAAGTAAATGGTCTCATTGTGTACAATCCAAAAACAATTTTACTTGAATTAAGAAGAGGAATTTGCCCTTCTCATTGTCTGCATAGTAAATTACAAAGTATAATATTTTAAAAAAAGAGGTGTGGTTTCAATAAGGTTGCAACTTTAAATAATCCAATTAAGGCGCACCTCCAGATTTTATCATAACAAGTAATTTTGGTGTATAAAATTCATAAGATTGTTTGAAAATATATTTTTATATCTAATTATAAAATTTTGAACTAAAAAAATGGTTAAAATCAAGTAGATCTATAAATATATGAAAATCTTTAGATAATGTGTTTTGCAAGATGCACTATTTATGCGACTCAAAACCTTTTTTATTTATATCCATATATCTCGATGTCGAGATGATCAATTAGAGCGTTTTTTAACATTAAAACAATAATTTCCTATGGATTTTTGAGACTTATATGCAATTCTACATTTTAAGGTTGCAAACTTATATAAACTTCTTCCTTTAAAAAAAAAAAAGGTCAATTATTAAACATATCTTCTATTATTTTTCTTTGGTGGAAGTTGTTTTTTATTTTGTCAGAGATTTTGTGCTCCTGCGAGATGAAATCGTACATTGCTAAGACTAAACCCAATTTTGGAGTGCTTTCACACCTGTTCAGTACCATATTAATGCTGATATAGACAGAGAGAGATTGTTTTGTAGTTAGAGAGAGAGAGAGAGAGAGATTGTTTTGTAGTTTGTGCTTTGCACATTGAATAACAGTCTATTAGTAGGCAAAAGTAAAACATTAATGAACACAAGCACAGAGATATTGCCATTTTCATTTCAATATTTCATTGGGACCGAGAAAAAGTAAGACAGAGAAATCCAAGAATTGAAAAGCAAGATGGAGATGGTAAATGGAGATGAGAAAGAGATTACTAAAACCGGATTAATTTGGTGGTG